ATCTCATCAAATCAAATTAACCCTTCAATAAACAATATCTTTCAAACTCTAATCCAATTCCAACAAAAATGCAATCAAACTCTAATTAAATTTTAAGAAAAATGCAATCAAATTGTAAATCAACTCTCAAATTTATCAAGAACCGAAAATGAAAATGGAAAGAAAAATGAAAAAACATGAACCTAGCGTCAAAACCCTGTGAGGCTGGGTTCGCGCGACCAACATGGCTGGGTTGGTCAAAACCCAACCTTGCTAGTTTCGTCGAGCTTGGGTTGGTCAAACCTAGCCTTGCTGGTCGCGCGAACCCAGCAATTGGGTTTCGACGAACCTATCCTCCATAGCTTCTCTCCTCCCTCTTTTACAATAAACAGAATACCCATCACCTTCACTCTCCATCTCTCTACACCCCTGGCTCTTCATCAACGGAGCCGTAAAGGCCATTGCAGTCGCCACCGGTATATCCAGTCTAGCCGGCCTCTTTCTCTTCAAAACCGACCCAAGACCAAAACCGGCACCGGAGCCTAAAGAAGATGGAGATGAGGATGAGAGAAGTGGCCCAGATGACGTTTTTTGAATCCTTATACGAAAGGGCGATGAAGGCGAAGACGACGGAGACGGAGAAAAAGGAGAAGATGTGGATTTGAGGTGGGTTAAAGTCAAATTAAGAGCCTCCGCTGACGGAGAAAGTATTGAGGTTTTGTTATAGAAGAAAGTTGAGGAAGGAGAGAAGACCGGGGAGCTTGATACCGCGATGGAACACGACATGGTTTTTTGAATTTGTTAATTTTTTCAGACAGCAGGGCCAGATTCGCGCACCCAAGACCAACAAGGTTGGGTTCGTGTGACCAGGACCAGCAAGCGAGAACAGCAAGGAGATCGGATTTTAGCAAGCGAGAAACATTGGATTGGATGAAATGATCGAGACGAACGGGATTGAATTTGATCGGAGCGGATTTCATGTTTGTGTTTTGCGAAAGAGTTACGGAAAAGGAGGTAATCAGCAGTAGCTGGGAGATTTCAAAGGGTTTGGAGGAATTTCTGCGCAGAAGTTTTGAAGTGAGATGCAGTATAGAAAGCAGTGCTCGACGAACCCAGCTACCCAACTCGTTGGAACCCAATCGATTTGGGTAGGAAAGAAAAAAAGAGAAAGAAAGAAGGGAAAGAAGAGGGATTGAGAGTTGAGGGTAATAATGTAATTTTATTTTTTAATTAAAATATAAATATTTATTTATGTGATATTTTTATTTATCTATATAAAATAATTATAATATATATAATTGTCATGTCATTAAAAAAATTAAAAGAAAATGTCAAATGGAATTATTTAATTGTCACGTCATGTTTAATTAACGAAAGAATCAAAATTGTGTAATTTTTAGAGTTAAAAGATAAAAAAAGTGAAAAAAATAATTTAAAGATAAAAAAATGCAAAGCTATAAAGTTGAGGGATCAAATTTAGTATTTAATCTTTTTTTTTCTTTTCCCGCACGTGGATGGTGATGTGGAGGGTATCATTAAGTCCACATAAGCATCTTTTACATGTTGGCATATCCACATCAGCTGTTCCCGTTAAGTTAACGTGCTACGTGAGCAAAAATTAACGGAATGACCAAAAAGGGGCCGGATTTGTGAACAGTAAGGACAAAAAAAAGGGATTTTTTCGATACAGAGACAAAAAAAGGGTTTTTTTCCTATAGTAAAGGAACCAAAAAGGGTATTTAACCTTTATTTTACAATTTAATGTAATTGGCCTCTATTTAATGATTATAGTTGTGTAATTTGGTATAGTTTAAACTATGTAATATATTTTTCTTTGTGATTTGGGATAAGTGTACATAAAGATTTTAGAGTTTTCAAATATGCATATAACATATTTGTAGTTAGGGTTGGCAAGGGGGCCTTGTGGGTTTGGGGAGTGCCTCCTTGTCCCCATCCTTGCCTCTCGTCCCCACAACTGGCAATAACAAGTATTCCTCCAGAGAATTTTTATGGAGGTAGATTTTACCTCAATGTCTTCATTATATTAAAATGTAAATTTTATTCTCTAAATACAATAAACTAATATTCAAATACAATGAACAAAATTTTTAAAGTTCAACTACAATTAATTAAAGTTTTCCAAACATAAAATCAAATATAAATTCTCTAAACTGTTAGGTTCTCTTTGTATTTTGATAATGATTTAAAATTATGATTCAAAAGAGTTTAATCTATTTTTGTGCTAAGTGTGCAGGAAAATTAATTCAAGGATTCTAATTTTTCCCCACGATTAGAATTAATTCATGTTCCTCCTTGTTCAAAGTTCTAGGTTTGAATCAATTATGTTTGATTCGAACCAATCCCGAACTTCTTTTTTTCGAAAATGATTCGAACTAATATTTCTGGTTTCGAAGCAAAAATTCTAGAAGGTTATATTTTGATAGCTCAACTATCTGTTTATTCTTAATGGATCATAGGGTATCTAAATGTCTTAGCACTTTCCAAGACAAGTCAGAAGAATAAGGTGGAATCTAATTGGGGCAATTGTGAGGTGGCTTTGAAAGGCTAAAAGGGCTTTAATTGCAAGGCTCCCAACCAACTATTAAAAGGACATCAAAAATCAGATCAAAGGAAGGAAGAAGGACGAACTGCTCCAGCAATACAGAAAAACAGGGTTTGATTTTGAAATTGTTCTGGTTTTCCTTCTTCTTCTCTTCTTGTGAGCTTTTGGGTTAATTGTCTTATAAGGGTTTTGTATTCTTCTTAGATTGAGATAATCCTTGAAGGGGTTGAGTGACTTGAGATTCACTTGTGAGGGTTTAATCTTGCACCCGCAAGCAAGAGTTTGTTCTGGTTTAATCTTGCACCTGTAAGCAAGAGATTTCTAGTGGATTGAACTCTCAAGCAAGGAGGCTTGGGGAGTTGACGTATTCCGGGTTGGAGGAACCATTATAAATCACGGCTTGATATTCTCTTTCCTTTCTTTTTATTTTTCTGCATTTTATTTGCAAGATTGTAGTTGATCTTTGTTTTATTTTGCATAACAGATTATACATATATATTGAAAACTTTATTCAAGTTTTTATAAAGGAACAGAATGAGTTTTATATGTTAGGAATTGGCTTGGGGTAGCTAGCTGGGATTACATAAACATAAACAAAGATTAATCTAATTTAATTTAATTGAGTTAGACTTAGATATGGGTTGGGTTGAGTTGTATAAAATTAGGTTAAATTTAATTTTTATTGGGTTGTGTTTGAAATGTATTGTGATGTATTGGGTTAGATTATATTTAAAATAAAATTAATTTATATATTTTTTAAATTTTTAATGGGAATAAAGATATTTATGAGGCCTCGTAAGGCGAAAAAAATTCCCCACATAAATTCATAAGGAAAAATACCCTCGTCCCCACCCCACAAGGAGGAATAATCCTCCCCACCCTATCCCACAATGAGGATTCTCGTAGGGCCTCGTGGGAATAAGGGAAAATTATCACCCTATTTGTAGTCTCAGATATGTATAAATAAAGATTGAAATATCAAAATGTGTACACAAACACTTAAAATTTGCACTTGATGCAAATAATCACTTAAAATTCCCCACATAAATTCAGAGGAAAAATACCTTTGTCCCCACCCTATAAGGAGGAATATTCCTCCCCTCCCTGCCCCATGATGAGGATCCTCACAAGGCCTCGTGAGAATCGGGGAAAATTGCCACCCTATTTGTAGTCCTAGATATGTATAGATAATAATCGAAATATCAAAATGTGTACACAAACACCTAAAGTTTGCACTTGGTGCAAATAATCACTTAAAATTTCTTAAAAACTCCTACGTTAAACAAATGAAAAGAAAAGAAAAATAAAGTTATTTAGGATAATTTTAGGCAACTTCAAGTAGTTATGTATACCTAATACAAATCTTAGGTCTTTATTTGTACATTTTGAAATCTTGAATCTTTATATGCACTTATTTTAAATCACAAGTATATTATATACAAATTTAAAATCATAAATCCTTCTATACACCAATCCTAAACTATAATTAGCTAAAATGCAATTTTCCCTTTAATTTATTAAATTTTTAAACTTAATTAGAGACCAGTAACATAGGATTTCTACATATAAAAGATAATAAAGTGCATTTAAATTATTATTATGTAAAATTGACCTAACTCACCAACTCAATTCAATTAGTCCACTTAAAATGAGTTATACATTACGCCTTATTGTAAACCCATTAGGCTTTACCCGATTGAGAGGAGAGACAATAGATATTTGTAAAATCTGGAGATGGGAGTCATGAGTTGGCCTTTTTTAGCTCATGGAGCAGTTTAATCCAATCCATCTAGACTTGGCAAATGGGCAAGTCGGGCTGGGTTTGGGTCGAGTCGGGTCACGGGTCAAACGGGTTGGGTTAAAACGAATCACGGGTCAATGAAGACTAATACTAACCTGTCCATCACGGGTCATGCAGGTTGATCCAATTGAATTTTTTTTCCTTTTTTTCTCTATAATTTGTATCTATTATCATCCAAAGAAAATTATTATTAAAAAATGTAATTTAACATCTTATAAAGAGATTTTTTCCCCATTAATCTAATAAAACATATTTACAGTTACTTAAAATCACCTTCTTCACTTTTCTTCAAAAAACAATGCTAAGACCACACACTTATTTTTGCTAAGACAATCAATTAGCTAATTAGGAAAAATTAATAAATTATTAGAGGTTTAAGTGGGATTGGGAATTGAAAAACAAAATAAATAAATAATAAATTAAAATTTTTTAATTTTTTAATTTTTAAATAAGTACACGGGTCGAACTTGTTAACCTAATGGGTCAACTCATTACTGACCCATGACCCGATATACGAGTCATTAATGGGTCACGAGTCATAAATATCTGACTCTAACCCATTTTAAACAAGCGGGTAACAGACAGATTAACGGGTTGGGTAAAAAATTGTCAAGTCTAAATCCATCTAAAGATGAGATGACCCAACTATCATCCAACCCGACCTACATATTTGTCATTTCTAATTACTCAATACATTTGTATACTGACTATCTACCTTGCGTTTATATGAACTTTAAATAAATAAATATATTTTGTATTTTAAATATTAAAATTTTTTATACTTATTGATTTATTAATAATATTTTATTATTATTATTTAAACATATGAATTATTTAATCGTCCTAATTGTTCTTAATTTTCTTTGTACATTATCTAAATTCTTGCGTAAAAAATTAAGATGACAATGTCGAACTGAATGATGGAAAAAAAAAAAATAAAAGAAGAAAAAAACCTTTAAAGTTTCAGAAAATTCATCACCATTTCCGTTCAAACATGTGTCACACAGCAACAGAGTAACTGCTGCTTGAAAACCATTTCCAACTTTTCAAGGACGAAAATAAAAGGAAAAGGGTTTGGTCGTGTGGTTTGGGTTCCGAAACTGGTCTTTTTAAATTAAAGTTTGACCACGTGACAGTGGACAATCCTTTCAAACATGGGGCCGTACAGACATCCCAAGGCAACGCCCCCTTTAATTCCGCCTTCTTCTACCCCTTGTTTCCACCTTTAAACACCACCATATCCCCCAATCGATTCATGGGAAGTAGAGAGTCAAATACTAAATTGTTGCACAATTCGTTATGCCTTCATTATTTCATCAGTAATATTTTCCTTTTTCGACTCATAATATTAATATATAGATACCAACGAAGGACTTGTTAGTCCGATTAAAAAAAAATTGATTTTTTTTAAATAATATTTTGATTTCGAATCTTATAAATGAAAAAATAGGCACTAAAAGAAGTTTTTTTTAATGGAATCCAGCGCGACTCGATTTCGAATTAATCGAAATATGATTACCAAAATTCAACCTGTATTTTTAAATATATTTATTATATGTTTTTTACTATTAATTTTATAAAAAAT